AGAACATGCCATAGAAAAAAGTAATAGAAAAGAAGAGAAGAGAAGATAATAAGATAATATGACTTTACAGAGTAGAATAGACCAGAGAAGAACACAATTTAGAAGTGAGTAACAGGATTTAACATTAGAACATTACAAAACCATGATAGAGAACATTATAGAATTGAATAGAACAGAACATACTACAGTACAGAGTAATAGAATAGAATAGAATACAATACAATACAATACAATACAATAGAGAGTAATAAAATAGAACGGAACATACTGTAGTACAAAGTAATAGACTAGACTAGAATATACTCAAGTAGAGAGTAATAAAAAAGAACAGAACATATAGTACAGAGTAATAGAATAGAATAGAATAAAATAGAATAGAGAGTAATGAAATAGAACGGAACATACTGTAGTACAAAGTAATAGACTATACTAGACTAGACTAGACTAGAATATACTCAAGCAGAGAGTAATAAAAAAGAATAGAACATATAGTACAGAGTAATTGAATAGAATAGAATAGAATAGAACAGAACAGAACATACTATACTATACTATACTATACTATACTATACTATACTATACTATACTATACTATACTATACTATACTATACTATACTCATATAGTATATACTACTTTACCTATATTGCAGCCGTATCCAATACTGGCGAGCATACAAACATGGGTTTAATTCACATATGCACACCTTCAGTAAATTCTAAATGTAGTGTCTGAAACTGACAATGATGTCATTAGGACTGCTTCTGATAACAGAAATACTGTCCCTGCACTCAGAGGTGTGTAAAAGCTCTTTGTAGAGAGATTATCTGTCATCTGTGCCCCACATCTGTTTGTATGTACACACACACAGATGGCTGACATCATACTGAACACCTGGATATGACTTTGATTTGCTGCCAAATAGGTGAATCAGGGGGACAGCCACTATTATGGTTCTCATGCTCTGATAATACTGTAAATTGGAGTCTGACACATGCGCTCTCTCAGGAATTTAGTTTAAATGACAGAGAGCAGATTGATGTGTTTTATGTTACAGAATGGTTATAATAATAACAACACTGATAACAATAAACTGTATTACGCCTTTAAAAGTCAAAGTTACAAGGTGCTTCACAAAAAGATAATAGCGTGATGTGGTGTTGCATTGCATGTCATAGTATATATTGGTACAGGTCAGCGTTTTCAGCATTTTAGAGCATAGACTTACTTTGCTAAATATCTTGGCATGTCTTTACAGGTATAACCTATTAAACAAATGTAGCTTCTGGTAAAATAAATACTTGTCTAAACAAAACAACTGGGCAAGTTAAAGCTGAAGTTAACTGAATACAGTGATGTGCTTAGGACTTAGTAGTGACTTAACCAGATGGATGTCGTCATCATCATGTGTCTTGTTTATTACCTGAGCATTTCTTCATAATTTTTCCCAACTAAACTTTTGGTAATATTGTTTCAGCTAAAACAGAAAAAAAATGTAATGCATGTAAGTGTATAACAATATATTAATGCATACTGAATGTGTTTAAATATAAATACAAGTTCTTCTACTGTCCTTAAATCTTTTAGAAACTTCTTAAAATTTAATTGTGAAATGAATCACATTGTTATACTACAAGACAGGGTGGATCAGCTTCATCTTCCTTTTAGACAAAACGTGGCCAGTGCGCCCTCAGACATCACGCATATGGAATGATACACTACACGACACTAGGAGTTCACTATCAACTGACATTTTTAAAAGAGATTGCCGTCACATTTATTGTTATTTCCCCTCTCACGTCTTTAGTTTTAAATTATCCTCTGACTTGTGAATGCTCTGGCACTCCACTATGATCATCTATTTCCTCATGTTGCATTTCCTTTATTTTCTACTTTTCTTTTGTGTTCTTTGTTTGTAAGTCGTTCATAGGAAGGAAGCCTGACTCAGTTAATCAGAGTACAGGTAATAGGTTTACTAGAAACTATAGTTCACATCAAGTGGTGTAGCTCAGCGTACGGTCAGATAATATTATATGATACAGTGGAGTACACTTTGTCTCCCGAAACCTGTTGTTGAACCAGAGACTCTATAACGCTATCCCAATTATTGTAACAGTATAAATGGAGAGAGAAAAAAAGTAAATACAAAGATGGGAGTTTTATGTTACATTCAGATCAAAAATGATGCATCAGGTTTCACATTAAATGGTACATTATGGGTGTCTGGCTAAATGACAATATGAGGGAATTGCTTCGGGGGGGGATGCAAGGTGGAGGTGCCAAAATGTCATATTGAGGGAAAAAAACAATAAGTGCAGAGCTCATTTTACTGAGCATCAGTGGAGAGAAACCACAACCTACAATCAGCAAGGAAGAGTCAAACCCAAAGGTCAGAGCAAATGTCAAATGGGCCCAGTATCAGTTTAGAAGACATCACTCTACTTGCACACACTCGTTTTAACTCGAGTGCAAAAAGTCATACACTATATTGTTTCTGCTATTAATGCTGATCAAGTAAAGTAGATTAAAGGTGAAAATTCTTCCATTTTAGTGGATTAAATGTGGAACTACAATTGAAAATAATAAGCATGTATACTTAAATACAAAAATAAATACACAAAATGCATAAATTAGAACAAACTATTTATACCTGTGAATATGCAAACATGATTCCTAAACTTTTTCAAACATGCCCATTGTAACTCTTTGATTTGTTTCATGAAAAGTGATACCAGCAACTTTTATAGTGCACTACAGCCGAGTGTGAGTATTGTGCCACAGGATCATTTTTCGGATGAGGCAAGTACGAGGTGAAATGTCCTGCTATTTTCTCTTCATACGACCACATTCCAGTCCGATTACCACTGAGACCAAATGAAACTGAAACAAAAACTCTGTTTTCCTCTTGTATTTACACAGTAAGTGATGATAGTGGTGCTAGGAATGACCACAAAATTAACTTGCACGTTATAATGCAATAATAGTTCTGCAATAATAGTTTTCTGTTGTGAATTTTTAAGTTGTTGAATAAATATGTTGGTTTATATCGAGGCAGATTTTTAAGGTTGTATGTTATGCAGTATTTGAATATGTTTCTGATTTTATTCTTCCAAGTCTGTAAATGATGCAGACAAAAGATTAGAACCACCTTCCATCCAGTGTACTTTCATACACTGACCACAAATTACAGCCTAAAAACGTGAGAGGACAACCCTCTATAAAAACTAAAAGTCATTTCTTTATTAGTTTACATTAATTCATATATGCAGTTTTATTTTGGTGGTCACTCCTTAGAGTATCATTTTAATTCCTATCTGAATTTGTAAACTTTATCTAAGCAGCCTTTTGTTGAAGGTCGACCCTGAAATGAGATCTGCTCAGGGTTCCAGTGGAGCTTTCACAGCCGGTATGGTAGTGATAAATAAAGAAAATAAACTCTGTTGTGAATAAACTCTGTTGTGAATAAAATACTTTTTTCAGTCTGTTTCTTGACCACATATGGACCACACTTACAACAAAGAACTTTTTTTTTTTTTTTTAAATTTTGAGGTTCATGTGGACTAGGACCTTCAAACACTTCCAGATTTTTAGAGCATCACACAGTTCCCTGAAATGGTGCAGGGGTGATTTTTTGAATTACATTTTCCCCACTTTTTGGAGTTTTCTGAGGAAGAAAAATACAACTGCAACTTTGACCTGAACAGTAAATTTATCTGATAATTTAGTTAAATAACTGCTCTGCGTGCTAAAACAAAAACCAAATACTAAACGATGGTTTAATAAGCCCATTATGTTGCTGCTAACATCTCACATTTCTGAACTACATGTGCACATGTATTACTCCTAAAAATGCATATTATAGCTATTGTAGAATCTCTGTGTTATTAAATGACTTTAAGCATTTTAAATTCCAGATATCCCAGACAAGGGATTCGGCCCCGCCCATGACCAACTCCTTCTTAACTACAAGAAACTGAAACAGTAAGATTGCACTTGCAGTGCTTTGCTTATCAATAAAAGCTCTAGTTGTCGAGTTTGTGGACGAGCCTAAAACAGAAAAGAACCGCTGCTAAACAAAGAGAATTCAGTCTTTCCATAGTGCTTCCTCTTAAACACATAGCTGAGATATGCAGCTCTGTTGAAGATGCACACAATTACTTCAGAGGCGGGGTGCTTTATTTACATATGCAATATGCATAAGCAAGGTTACTGTGAGGGTGAAATAACCGCGAGATAGAAGGAAAGAAAGAAGGAGGGGTTTGGTTTGTGTGTGTGTGTGTGTGTGTGTGTGTGTCTGATGTGTGTACGTGCTTGTGTGTGTGCCGGTGATGGAGAGAGAGAGTGCGTGGGGTAAGGGGAGGTGGGGGGGGGAGGCAGAAAATTGGTGTTATCAATATTTAACCAACCCTTCCAGCATATTTATGGCAGACAATAGAGCAGACATGCAACTGTCTCATATGAGTGGAAGTGTATTTATTACAGACTGAAATCGAGGCTGTAAATAGGGTGTTCATTGATATATCCCTGCTACACTTGCATGGAATCAATGAGGAGCCCACCTCTCCGCACACAACTTTAACCAAAAAGAAACTATTAATATGTGTGCTAATTGCACGTCGCGATCGTTGAGAGCATCACAAATATTCATTAGGGGGATATTTCTACATGTGGCGAGCAGATGTATGTAATTCAATCAGTTTGAGGGGGGAAAAAAAAGAAAAAAGAAAAAGAACCCAAAAAAAGCTATGAAAAGAGGGAGAAGAAATAAAATGTCTGGAGCTTTTTTTTCACAGACCCATGGCCTCTCAGAAAATGTTTCCATGTGTTGTGTCTGAGCACACTGAGAGCAAAGAAGGAAAACATTCTCTCCTCCAAACCACATGCAACAGATTCTTTCTGAAGCCAAATAAATCAACCCTGTGTTTCAGATCATGTGACACTTTTTGTGCTTTGTGTTATTCCCAACATATCCTGTTTCACCCCCCCTTCCCCCAACCCAACCGCCCACCCCCCACACAACACACACACACACACACACGCACACACACGCAGCACATTCAGAGTTTCCATATCCTGTGCGTAAGATCACCTGTACAGACAGAATGGCGTGCTTCAATGCGACATGCTCAGGCAGGAAAACAGGAAAGGGAGTTCAAGGGTGTCCAACATGAAATACTCACAGAGTTAGGGGAAACCCACAGCTCATGGCAGCACTCCAGTTTCTGAAGACAGTAAGTAAAGTTTCACTGGTGCACTTTTTTTTTTCTTTTTGCTTTAACACTGCCATCATGCGCTCTACTTTTGCTTGTGCAAAAATGTTCTAGAAGTGTTAAGCATCTGCCTGTTCGAGGACAATGCGTACTGTATGTTTCAGCGCAAGTTAATTGGATCATGCAGCAGTGCAGTATGCTTTAGGAACTTTGGATGCTTTGCCTTTTAAAGGAAAAGTTTTCCAAAATACTTTTTTTTCATTGTTGCTTTCTTGCACTACATTGGATCTAAGATCTTCGCTCTTTACAACTATAATGTCAGTATGATAAATATGTTGCCAACAGATGGTTCGTATAGCTTAATATATATATATATATATAGCATAAAGACTAGAAACAAAACTTAAGGTACGTTCCAGTGTTCATCCTGTTATACTATATAGCATGCCAGAAAATGATTTAGTATGTTTCAGTATATAGTACGTCAAATGTAGTGAGCCAAAAATCCCCAAATGTACTGCTATATCCGCTTGGATTCAACAGCATACCAGCCTGTTTGCATTTCTGGTCATTCTGACCCACAATCCTCTGCGCAGTTGCGTCACATATGCCGTGGTGTCTTGCACGAGTATAAGCAAGCTCGAGCCACCGAGAGCACACAGACAGATGAAAGCTCATTTGGCACGGCAAACTGCAATGGTCAAAGCTTTGAGTGAAATAGTATGAGGAAGTAGTATGTCCCAATTATAGGCCACTGCATGAAACAGTATGTCCTTTGTTAGAGCAGCCACAGTACGTACCGAAATTAAAAAGAGAAAGTATATGATCTGGAATGCAGCCGCTAAGACTATTATAGATTGTATAAAAAAGACGGATGTAGTCTCTGGTTCTGAAAAGCAAAGCTAACGCAGAAGTTCCCTAAACCTGAATTCTTTTCAACAACCAGCAGGGGGGAGAATCCAAAGGTTGCAAAAAGAGGTGTGATAGTATGGAAGTCTATGAGAAAATGACCTACTTCTCACTTGATTTGTTGCTTCAGATAACATTTTTCTTAAGAGTTTATGGCTTTGATCATTATTTCAGGACTTGTTAAATACAGCATGACGTTCATTTCAAAAATGATGGCCCTATTTAGAGTAAAAAATAAATGGAAAAAGAGGATGTTTGGGGGCAGTTCTACCTTTCGTTTGACAGGTCACCACTGCATCAGTAGAGAGTCCTTCAGTCCTCAGTCGGTGACAGCCAAATTGCAAACTCAATGCTTCAAAACAGTAATTCACAAACTAGTGGGTGACATCACAATGAACCCGATGAGAGTGTTCACAGTGACAGCGCTGGGGTGCATATGTCTACATTTAGATGTTCTTGATAGCTGTGTTTCTATTTCCTATGTAGTGGAGTACACCGACTGTCTGCTGTGTTGTTAATAGTTTAACTCATACATAATGCTCTCAAAAATTCCACAACGGAATGAAAAAATTACCCTCTGACCCAGAACCTAAACTTTTACTTTCGACACATACTGCAGCAACCCTTAATAACTACACACTGTTGAATGTGGTATGCATTCAATTGGGACATACTAATTCATCATAATATTGCACCTTAAGCTTTGACCGTCTTACTTATACATCCATCACAGTCTGTCATACAAAATGAGCTGTCATCTGTCTGTGCACTCTCGGCAGCTCAAACTTGCTTCTACTTGCGTGAGACACTGTGACACGTGATGGATCTCATGCAGAGGCTGGTTGGTGTGAATGGCCAGGAAAGCATACTGCAAAATGTATGCTGCAAAACTATTGGGATGTACTGAATCTTTTTCTGGCATACTAAATAGTAAGGTAGTGGGCCTGGATGATAAAACAATAATGATGTATGCACCAGCATCAGACACTTAATTGATAGTAATAGAAAAATTCTTTGATAGTATCTTCAATAGCTTCATTTAAATGCATTAGATGTAAACCACCAGTGAAAATGAAAGCACATAATAAAGACACCAAGTTCAGTTGCATGAACAAACTCTAAGCATGCTCCCATCCTGACTTGTAAACAGCCTATCATGCCTTATGAATAGAGCCTCTTTGCCCTTTATTGCTCTTCCTGCAGGTTTCTGTTCAGGTCTCCTAAGACACGGTAGTCCGTACCCACCTGGATACCTTGATGCTTCCGTCCAAGTCCGCAAAACCTCCTCTAGTTGCAGTTAGCAGGGACTGGCTTCACAGTAAAAAAAAAAACAAAAAAACAACGCCTCCATGTAAGTAAAAAAACTCCTGAGATGATTCATTGATTCTTATGTATGTGTAAGGTATTTTAAACTTCTACCTTAATAAATAGGTGGTCAAATTTATACACACACAAACAACCAAACTGAAGGTAAAGTTTTCTCTTGGTCTTTATTAAAAACAGATCATTAAAATGATCTATAATAATTGATACTGACCGAAAATGTAACTAATGCATCACAATAAACTTTTCAGCTATATTGTCCAGCCCTGCATGGTTGGATGGGTGTTGTAACATACCCATAATATCCATTTAATATCCATGCTGTGGACATGAACTCCAACAATCCCACAATGCAGTGTGCTGCATTTCACAGATGCCAAAATAACTGTTGTGCTGATGGTGATGATGCAACAAGATGACAGTAATTAGTGTGTGTTTGTGTGTCTTCTTGCTGAATTAGATGAGGAGATTGATAAAATTGGTAAATATGAAACTGGAGCCAACAGCCAACCCTTAGCTTAGCCTAGCAACACTGGAAAGAGTTGAAAATAGACAGCCATGCTCTATTAAAAGATTTTTTTTTTTTTTTAATGTGCTTACCAGCATCTGTAAAGTTCACAAATCATTATGTTTTATTTCACTGAGTACAATGCACGAAAACCAAACAGCAAACCAGTGTGTTGGTGAAAATGTTGAAATATTTCATATTTTTTGTATTAACATACATTACCATCTATCCCTCAATTTTCCCCCTCTGATCCGACCCATAGGTTTTACTTAGTATGCACTATTGTAACCTTGTAGTTCTTGCTATATGTGACATGCCATACTGATCAATCGCCCCTGTTCTCAGTGGGGTAACACAGTGTTCCCCTGTGCATCTGACAGCCATCCCTAGCCCATTTACTGTCAAATGGGCTCTGCTCTCTTTGCCGGAGCTCAGATGCAGATTTATGCCAGAGCAATGCCGGTTCTTGCATATTAGATGAAAGCCTTGTTTGCATATACCCGCTCTCTCTCTCTCCCCCCCTCCAACCCCTCTCCTCCTTCCCTCTTCCCCCCTCTTTCTCTCTCTTCCTTTTTTCTGAGGCGTCACTTTAATATGTATGCAAATGGGCTGCGCTCCACGGGCAGATATGTGTGGAGTCCTGTCCTGCAGTCAGGAGGTGTAGGAGAGATTGTGTTTGTATTTATGAGGCATGGGCCCTGCCGCTCTTGGGAGAGAAAACGCTGCAAGTAGTGTGGTGGAGGCTCTGCAGTGCAGGCAGAATGCAGATATGCCAATAACAGAGGTCATGGTTGTCACTAATGATAAGAGGAGACAATTAGACAATAGCATAGCTGTAATGTAACCCCCCCTTACACCCTCTTATACACACACAAACAAGCACCTAAGCTATCGTATCCCTGCTCTGGTATGAAGCAAGCTAACAGACTCTTCTGGAATGTTCTATATATTGCAGCAGCAGCAGCAGCAGCAGCAGCAGCAGCAGCTCCCCTCCTCGGCTATGCCCGAGCCGGATGGGGAGTCCTGGGTGATTGGTGCGGGTAAAAGACCAATCTATCGATCCTGTGCATCCCTCAAGGGGTTGAGGATCACTGTCGGGGGCTGAGGCAGAGGAGACAAGGTCAGGTCACCTATGAGAGAGGCACCCCCTAACCCATTTCATCAGTCTGATGCTGCCCAGACAGGCCTCAGAAGACAGTGATCAATAATGTCTCGGTAACAGCAGAAACAGGGATAAATGAAGAAAATAGCAGCTCAGAGTCCGTGACTTGGATCTTAGCGTGTGTTGTGTAAAATTTCCTGTTACATGTCGCAAAATCACAGGAAAAGATCTAGTTTCAAATAAAATGAATTCATTTCGGATGAGTGTTGTAAAATTACACTGAAAACTGAATGAAAATAACAATGAATGCCTGGTATTATGTTCAAGACATAATAATATCTTGGCTTGGTGCCAATCAGTGATCTACTAAGGCAACACACACACACACACACACACACACACATGTACACACACACACGTACATGCACACACAAAACTGTGTGCAAATCAAATGTCTGTTTCCTTTCTCTTTCTCTCTCTCACACACATACACGCACACACACACACA